CAATACCAGTCTCTTGGGATGGCATATCAAACCGTCTCTAACAAGATTCACAGAACTCCAGCCAGCACACTGAAGGAAACAGACTGATAGAGCCTGGGTAAGCTGATAAAAAGTCCCAATTAAAACTACTCTTCTATTCCCACCCCATCTTCATTCCGGTGCACAGTGGGGTAAGGGCAGGGGTGGGCAGATACGCTAACACGATTTTTAGGTGAGGACTGACCAGGCCTTCACAGTGAAAGACCACCCCAGCCTCCAGCCCCTCTTCCATACCACTTGAAAATTTCAGTCTTTTATTTGATGAGGCAAAGAGGCAAAATGCACAGTGGCCATATGGACACCCATGAACCAAGGCACGTCTGACTCTCTTCAAGTTCCCAGCCAGCCTGCAGCAGGCCCAGCCTTTGGTTTCAATTACATCAGAAGAGTGGTAGATTCAGGAGCCAAATTCTAGTCCAAGGTGTACCAAGCAGCAAGCCACTTTTTATTTACAGGTCAAAATTCTTCAACACTCAGAAGAAGGAAATTCTATCTCTACCCTCTTCCTCTCTGATTACCTCATTTGTTCCTACTTACCACCACTTTGACTTCCAAGTTATCTACTTTCTTGACTCAAACCCTTCCTGTTTCTTTTAGCTGCTAATGCATTCCGAAGGTTCTGCCCTCAGCTCTCTCTCTGCTTCTCTGCCTCTCTACTGGGCACCATCCCCTTCCGAATCTAAAAGGCTGCCTTCTACCCTGGGTTCTAGACCTAGATTCTCAACTGCCTCTTTAGCATGTCCGCATGGCATTTCATTATCTTCCTGCATTCTGACACATACAAGACAGGGCTCCCTTATTTATGGGGCAGAAGCCAGGTTCCTTAAGATGGCAGAGACCATGTTATCTAATTCATTATCTCTGTACCACCGCAGGACCTAGCACTGGCCTACGTATAGTATGCATCAAAAAATATTTGTCCAGCTAAGTATCACCTCTACAAAAAACCCCAGGGATCTAAGAATCAGAAGAAATAATGGTAATGAAGAAAGGCTTTGAAACCATTTTTGTAAATCATTATTTAAGTATGCATATGGAAGTGAGCATTACATTCTGCGCCCCCACTCTTCCAGCTCTGACATTCTAGAAGCGAAAGCTTCTCACAGACCCTGAAGAAACATGTGGCCTCAGGTATCACCAGATTTATCAAATCGGAGACAGTGGGAAAGATATGTGTATGTAAAAATGAGAGAAGCTGCCGGGATGTGGGAATGGCTGAAGTGCCCCACTCTTAAATTTCTGTCAGCAGAGACACACCAAGGCTGCTAAAATGGAACTGTCTCCGGTCCCTCCCCAGAGCATCGCAGGCCACTTGCTGAAGCCTACCCAGCTAGGGCTTGTCAGACCTCCCATGTGCTCACCACAGCTCAAAGCCCCTCTCCAGTCAAACTTCCCAAAAGAAGAAAGCACCTAGAAAAACCTGGATTTACATTCTGGCATTGCCACTTGTCAGCTATTAACCATTTGACCTCTCTGATCTACGTCCTTCTCTATAAAATGGGATTATCACTCATCTTGGAGGGCTTTCGTAAAGATGAGAGGCATAAAGCTCCTAGCTCAGTGCCTGTGCTCCTGAGTTAGGCAGGTCAAGGCCATGGTTCTGTCAGCCCCGGCCCCAGCTTGAGCAGCTTTCCGGGGTTGGAGCCCTATGACCTGGACAGGCAACATGAGGATGACCCCCCTGCACAGCCCTGGCTCACTTCCTCAGCATCCCCAGCCCCTTCCCTCCCCTTCTCTAGGCCAGCACCTCCAGCGTCTTACTCGAGAGCCTCCTTTCCTGACTCTCCACAGGCACGGTCCCTCCTGCCAGTCAGTGGCAGGGAGGTGGGGTGGACACACACCCAAGGTCTCAGTCAGCTCTGCCCTGCTGACCTTCCCCCCCAGGCTGCACAGACAGGAATGCTCCGTCCACCTTGTGGCACAGCGGGTGGCTCAACAGCCTGTCATCCCATACCCTTCATCAGACTGCAAAGAACATAGGCCTACTACCCTGAGCTGGTTCTCAACAGCTCCCCGAGGCCCATCCATAGTTGCCCACCTCTGTGGCTCTCTAGCCACAGGTCTGCAGCAAGTTCTACAAGAGCTGGAAGAAGTTTCCCCACAGGCCTCAAAGCCTCAGACATTAAGAGATGGGAGACAGGCAGAACAGCCTGAAGGTAGGAGATTAGGAAAGAAATTTAAGTTTCTCTGCTGGACTTTTTGGAGGAAGAAGAGTGGGATGAATGAATGGTAGCCCAGGGCAAGCCTTAGAGGAGTCTGGAAAGCTGGAGGCTTAGACTTTATGGCCTAACTCTGCCTCACAGGGACAATTAAATTTGACCGCACTGTCTTCCTGGGTCAAGGGCCTAGGGTGCTTAGAATCTGCTCTGATTTCCTTTAAAGATAAGGCTCAAAGTGCTTGGCAATTCATCACTGTTTATTATTCAGACCTCAGGTCCTACCCTAGATGTGTAATGAAGAGCCACAGAGAGGCTGCTGGTAGCCATCCTTTCCCTCTGCACACGTCTGGATGTCTAGGGTATGCTTTCAACTTAAGACAAAAGCAGAGGATGTGTTCATTCAACAAATATTTACTGCCACCAGGGAATGGCCCACGGCATGGGAAGGGCGTACCACTGCCCCTCAGCAAAGCCCTTCTTTCCATGGCCGTGCAGCTCCTGCTCTGTCCAGGAGCAGAGCATGGGGCTCCTGTTTTGAGGCTCCACCAGCCCCTCCAGCCTGCCTACCACCCATGGCTTCTTGCTTTTGCCAACCAGGCTTCCCCTTGGAGGGCTGCCTTTACAAGGTGTGCTGTGGGGCAGCTGACCTCAGAGACTGGCATCCTAGATCCCAACTGTAGGTCTTGTCTTAGAAAAAGGTGGGAGCTGATGACATGATGCACAGCCTGTTCCAGAGGCATCTGGAGGGCACACTGGAGCAGTTCCCACCAGCAAGAGCACTGGTGGGGGGAAGGGCCAAGGGCTTCTGGAAGGAAGAGGTGAGCCAATCCTTACCTTACAGCCCTCCTTGGGAAGAACCATGCTCCCTGTTCAACTCACTCTTACATAAGGGGGCATTCCTTGCTCTTCTCAGAAATACAGGTTCATCTGATTCTCAACACTGGCTTCCCCAAGCGTGTACGTCCCCCTCTATCTGGGGTGGGAGGGCCAGGGCAGGTCTAAGAGGTTCAGAAGTCTCACGTACAAGCCCTCACCCTCACCAGAAAGGGGCTGTGAGGGATGCCAAGAACACGAGGTCCAAGTAACCTTCCACCCTTTCCTCTGCAGCCCCTACAACTGCGTGGCAGGCAATCCTCCTGTGAAAACATGGCCCACCACACCCAGACAGCTTCCTGGAACACTCCTGGGCAGGACAGATGGAGAAGGAAGCTCCAGGGACCGAAGGCAAAGGGCAGATGTTCTCCTACAGGAGCCGTGATTCATACACGACAGAATAGCAAAGCATTCCCTCCCCGACTCCCGACCAGCCTTCTTTCTCCCAACCCCAAAGCTCCTGAATCTGATCACTCTCACCCTTACCTCCAGGAAAGGAACAACCATTGGTGCTTCTGCTTTCCCCCACTGCCCTCTCTTGCCCGTTCCTAATCCTGCACCACACCACAGCAAGGGGCTCTGGACTGGGTGCTTCTCCTCCCTCCCCATGTAAGCTCTGGAAGGTTGGCCTCCCTGAAGTAGGCTCAGGCCTGCCTAGACCCTGGCAAGGGCTGATGCAGAAGGGTTGTGCTAGGGCATATACAAGTCTTGCCAATGCACACCTAGGGATGGGAGAAGCTATGCTTCTAGAAGCTTCCAGGCCACAGTCTCTCTGGCTCAAAACACGGGCCCAGGCCCAGAGTTGAACTACTCAACTTGAAATGCCAGCAACCATCTCTCCATGCTTTGTGGGATGGGTTTGGCCCAAAGTGCTGATACATAGGATAAGCTATGTCCCCTAGGATGCCGACAGAGTTTCTGGGACATGAGGGTCCAGAAGGGACACTCTCCTGGAGTACAGCAGCCCCAGTTCTGGGATTCTTGCCTCTCCCAGTCTAGGGGCCAGAAGCCGGGAGCAGCGTGCTCACTCAGCTAAGGCTGGTGTCACACTTAAACGTGCAGGAGAGAACAGGGCCCTCGGTCATCAAACCCCCGTAAAGCACCACACCTCTGGCTGTAACTTTTCAGTCCTCAGGGCCCAGGCCAAGCCTCCCAAGGGGAATGTCTGCCAGAGCGTCCAGGACCAGGCAACACCGTGAAGGTGACAGCCCCAGCTGCAGGCATGAGGGCCTACTTTGCAGAGGGCAAAATTCTCACACCTAAAGGGTTCCAACCTTAGCAGGTGGGGAGAGCAGGCTATAACTGACAGCAACTCCCTTCTTCAATCCGTGCCGGTCAGCCAGGGGTTCCTTCAATTTTGTGGCTCCATCTGAACATTTGGTGGGAAATGGGAGTACTATGCCTGCTGGCAGGCAACAGTTGGGAACGTGGAGACTGGCTCCTGGGCAGCACTCACACACCAGGCAGGACACAGAGGAGGGGCTGTGGGCTGGAAATTCACCTTTGTGGCCAGGCTCTTATCTACTTCCTTCATCAAGACTAGATAACTTCAAAGTGCTTTTTTTTTAAACCCAGAACAATCTTTCCCCCAACCCACCCCAAAAAATTTCCACCAACTGGGCCAAATTCTTATCAGTTTCTATTCTTGTAGCCCAGTGGGAGGGAGGAACCAAGTGGGAGACTTGCATAGTTCCTGCCAAGATCAAATGTTGGAGAACCACCAGCCCTTCTATGGCGGCTTGTGGGCTAAGCTGGGCCTGAGCACTGTGAGAGACAGGACCTGCTACAAGGCTTACCTGGAATGAGACGGCACTCCTATAAGGTAGTCATGATGGTGCCAGTCCCCCGGGGTCCTAGGGAAGGGCCATATCCAGCCCCCTGCCAACACAGAGCCCTGGCTAGAGAAGAGGATGAGATAGGCACTTGATGAGGAGGTGGTCCAGCTGTCTTGGAGGGGGTTCAAGGCGGTGTGGGGCCTCAGGGGTACCTTAGACAGGGAGATAGATCAGCACCAGGAGGCCAGAGACCCTGGCGAAAGGGCATACAGAGGTACAGTGGCCCTACAAGTAGAAATCTCCAGTGGTAAAGTACTCCAAAAATCCTGGAAACAAACCAGTAACCTGTACTTTGGGAGCCAGACTGTCTTTATTCTTCACACACCCTGTATCTTTAGCTTTATTTGGTTCTCCTTTTATATTTAGTTATGGCTTCTAGAAAGGTCAGGCTATGGCAGCTATGCTAATGGAAACCCAAAGAAAGTGTCTGCATCCATGCTTGGAACAGGAGATTAAAGGGAAGCCATGTTCCCTCTCTGCCCTGGGGGTGCAGGTAGAGAGGAGTGGAGTGAAAGGGTGGAGGAGCCACGGTCGGGCCCTGTGCTCGGTCATTGAGTCCCCTGGGTGCCATCTTCCCAGCAGAGACCTTGGAAGTTCTGATTAGAGGCCCTGACCCGTGCTGAGCCTGGTGCTGTCGGGGTAACTTCTAGCACCAACCCTGCAGGTGACTTTGGGCAGCACCGCTGTCCTGTGCCCGTTTTTCCGTGTCATTACCAGAGGCAGACAGTGTGTGGCTGGTGAACTGGAGAACCTAGCTGCCAGGCTGGGCCACACCCAGCACACACTGGCTTTCACTTCTCTTACTCTGGCTGAGCAATTTTCCTCTTCATTGAGGAGCTGATGATATGCTGTGACTGGCTCAGGTAGGGCCCCTGGGAGGAAAGAACATCCCCCAGGTTGCTAGGTAATCCACTTCACCATCCTTGGGAAGTGGCAGTATCAGCTGCTGTGAGTAGATGTGGGCAAGGGGAGGCAAGGAGCCCTCCCCAGTCCCATCCTTGAGGAGGGATTCTCCTGTATCTGACCTGAGTTATACACTCCCTGCTAAGATGATATGTGTCATCGCACACATCACTGCTGTCAACTTTGGGGGGGATGCAGAGGGGAGGAATATATAGATAAGGGTCCATTAGGAACACAGAGACCAGGGTCCCCAGAGAGTGGTCTGTTGTCTGGCTCCATTATGTATCTTGAGGTTGCACAGGGATGGCCAGCATGATGGTGCTTGTTTGGGACTGGGGCTGTGAAGAGGTGGGGCCTAGGGCCTGCATTCAAGTCCCTTGCCTTCTCTGGTGAGACAGGGAAACACATGCTTATGAGTTAACATTTTACAGTGAACTTTGGACTAAACCCAGAGGACCTCAATTCCAGGACTGGCTGTGCTATTCAACAGTTGTGTGTCTTTAGGCAAATCATACCTCTCTGGGCCTCAGATCTTCCATCTGTAAAAGGAGCATGGTAACACCTGCCCTACTGACCCCACACAGCCCCTGCCAAGATGAAATAAGCTCTAAGCCGAAAAGCACTCTGTACTGGAGGTACTGTCGAGTTTCGGCTTCACAGAGAGGAGGGAGACAGAGACAAGAGTAGACACTGTGGCTGAGCTTAAGGGACCAGAGAGGTCTGACCCAGGCTGGATGACCACTTAGAACATGGCCCCAGATAGAAACAGGCAGCCAGGGGGCCTGCAGGAGCTGAGCATGAAGGGCAGACAGCACACTGGTCAGTCCGAGCTGGTAGACAGTCCAGGAGAAAAGAGCCAGCTGTCAGCAGTATTTGAAGAGCAGGAGGCAATACGAATAAGGAGATGGTGAGAATGAAAGAAGAAGACAGACCAAACTCAGAAAAGCCCCACCCCACTCCCCGAGCCCCAAGGAGCAGGTGAGAACTGCCCAGAAGCTCCCAGAACCTCCAGCATCTTGTTAATACATAACTCACACTCTCAAATAGCCTGCAGCTTGTCACAGGGACGGCCTTCTGCTCCTGGACCAGAGGCCCAGGGAAGTGACCCACCTAAGGTGAGGAGCCTGCGTCACACTGAACTTGAGGTCTCCTCTTGCTAAGCTGGAGGCTCAAAGCCCAGAGCTCCTTCTGTAACATCCGACTCCTGGCTCTGCCAAGCTGGGTCAGATATCTGTACCCTTGCAAACTGGAGGTATTGGAAACTGAGGTCAGAATTGTGCCATTTGTCTGTATGCATCTGAAACTGGCACCACTGTCCTAAGCATTCTCTTCCAGGGGAGAAGACAGAGGGGCCCAACTCTGCCTAGCAGGAAACAGCCCCACATAACCCAGAGAGCACAGCAGCCCTGGAGCTACATCCTTATCTGGGCCCTGGCAGGAAACAACATGGGAGGGTGAGCATTCAGGAAGCTGAGATGACAGGAGATGGACAGTAGACCAAGCCTTCCAGAGCTGGACCAGGGCTGCATCTGTTTACTGGGACGTGGGTGAAGCTACAGTAAGTGTTCTCCCCATCTCAGACAGACCCCGCATAACACCATCCACCACACAGATGGCCCTTGGCCACCACAAAGGGACTATAACCTGCCTGTGCCAGCTCTGTCCTGTAGTCCAAGGAATGAACCACTCCTTGTGGATGGGCAGCCAAGGGGCTGAGGGGGCTCCTCCCTAAAAAACCAACACTTTAAATACTGGAAAGAGCACCCAGCCTACAAGCCAATGACCTGGATTCTGGTCTCAGTTCCTCTAGCTACTGATTTGAGGACAGCAAGCAAATTACTCAACTTCCATTTCCTGATTTATAAATGGAATGACTCAATGACTCTAAGTTCCATTCTATATTTCAGCATTCAGTTTTTAACAAGGTAAATTAGTAAGTGGCAATAAATCCTTATTAGTTTGCCTGCATTGGTGTTTCTGACATGTAAGTCAGGTCACAGACCAGTGGCAGAGTCTCCCTGAGTCCAAATGCACACTTAGCACAGTCTGTTGTCCCAATATGTGACATCCCTCCAGTAGATGACAACCCCATTTTCCTTTGGAGAACCATCTTTCTACCATGTAACCCAGGCCTGGCTGACCAGAGGACCAAATGCACCCGGACACAGTACTTGATACCGAGCTGGGTGTGGGCCCCAATATTCTGCCACAGGGGAACTGAGAGTGGGTTGCACGGTGAAGAGCAGGGTGGGATGGATGTTGGTTGGTTGAGCCCCTCATCTTCTGACTATAAGCCTTTCCAAACCTGTTTCTCAGCCTGTTAAAGAGTCCTGTTTGGCTTTTTAAATGATGTCAGATACTCCACTGAACTCCAGACCTACCTATTCCATTCATTTCTGGATGCCACCCCTTAGGTGAGGTGATACCCCAAAATACCTCAAACACAACCTGCCCCAAACCAAATTCATGCTTGCTCTAAGCCCCCCGAACCCAGTCCCCTATCTGTATTACCAGTTTCTAGGAAAGGGACATCATCTATCCAACCCTGAAAGCTGGGAGTCACAGCTCTATGCCCACCCCTTCCTTTCACCGCCCTCGGCCAACTTACTGCAATGGCCACCTGCTTTTTACCATCTAAATCTCTTCTCTTTCTCTTATCTCCATGTCTACGACCATCGCACTTTCCAAGGGACTGTCATCATTCTTACCGTAACCTCCAAACAGCTAACACACTAGATCTACTGAAGAGACCCCTCCACTTCATTCTCCACTGGAGGCCAAAGTGATCTTCACAAATGCAATTCCTATCTGATCCTCATCCCCAATTCCTCCCAGCAAAACAGTCAAACCTCCCAATGCCTTGTGGCAAAGGTAGTACTCCCCAAATGCCCTGTGGCCCCAGATCTGGCTGGCTGAGTGGCAGGGTAACCCTGAGACCCAAATGGACCAGGCAGGTCTGAGCATCGCTGCTCTGCCCAGAGCCCTGGCCCCACCCTGGGGTGGCTTCCCAACTTGAAATCAGGGTGTCTTGCAAGACCCCTCTCCCACTGCAGAACTCATCTGACTACAGATGGGAACAGGAGCTGGCGGCCAGGCAGGGAAACCCAGCTGGGCTGAAGACAGGGACTATGTATTTCAAGAAGGAGAGGAGGTAGACCAAGAGCAGTGCCACAGTAGATTGCCAGTATCTGTGGGACCAGCTGACAGAAGGCAGTTATCCGAGTATAAACCTTGAGTCTCTCTCCTCCCTCTTATCAGACTGACCCTTGGCAGCCCTCAGCCTGTGGAGAACAAACAATCATTAACAACCCCTCCCACACTTCCTGCTAACAGAATGCTTGTGTGGCCAGCCCAGCCCTACAGGACATCCTCCGCCATCCTCCCTGCTGGGGTAGGTCTTGGGGTCCATCTTTCAGCCAGACTCCTCCTCCTGGGGCAATGATCCAAGAAACCTCACCTTCACCCAAACTGGTCTCCTCAAGGTCCCCAGCTGTCCCCTGCCTTTTCGGTGCAGGCCTTTGCAGCCTGGTACAAGTGTGGCCTTTTCCTCACTGCCTTCCTTCTCTTCTCTGCCCCACTCCCTTCCAGGTGTGTTCTCAACTCCTGTGTCTGTGCTGACCCAGACCCTCCCACTCCGTGATCAGCCGGTGTGATTCCACCTCCCCCCTGGCTTAGAGCAGAGTCTAGGGCACTGTGGGGGGTGGAGGCAATTGAAACTGAAAGAAAGAAACGGAAACACTAGAAACAGTCATCCCCAGGCTGAGATGGTGCCAGTCTAGGAAGGAGGAAGGTGAGGAGAGACCAGATGGGTTTTTCTGCCTGAACCTAGGTCAGAGCCAGAGCAAGGGCTGGGAGGTGGGCACAGGGACAATGAGATGCCTGGAATAGCTCCCGTGGCTGCGGAAGCCCAGGTTCATCAGAGAGATGCCAGAGGAGGTTGGCTGCTGCTCAGCATATCCAAGCAAGTTACAAGAAAGGTCAAACCATTCCCACAGACATCTGGACCACACAGTAGTATCCTGAGCCCCCAGCACTACCTCCCCACTCAGGATAGGATGTTTCTTTTTTGGGTCTACCAGAGGGTTTGAGAGTGAATACTGAGTGGGCCTTCAAATTCTGTATTCCATAGATGAGGACTCTGAGGCCCAGAGAAGGGCAGCGACTTGCCCTGGGTCACACAGCACAAAAGCCTCTGTGGGTAGCTAAGGCAGGGAACCCATGCATCCAACAGGACTGGGCTGTAGCCTGAGGATCACCGAGGGGCCCTCTGACCAAACAAGCTGCTTCCCCTTTGGAAGAACCAAGAATCCCTGCCCTGAGGCTCTGGGGACCTTGGTGGCCCAGGCCTCCTTCTTGGCTTCACAGGCTGCCACCCGAGGGCCTGCTGGCTGCTCTCCCTGTTTTGCATAGGATGAAAAGCAGGGTAGGCACATAGATCTGGGATGGGCAAGAATTACTAGGACAGGTGGCTTGGGTGGGAGAACATCCTCCAAAATACCTCACCCAGGCTTGAAGGGAGGTGAAGTATCTTCTGGGTTAAGCATAAGAAATGTTACTTGAGAGATTAGAACTCACATTCATCCTAGAAGTTTGCCCACTGCTGATTCAGGGTCAAGTGTGAATTGCTTTTCAAGCACTAAGGAAATTCCTTCATTAAACGCTGCCACGTCGGCCTTGGGCTGAACCTCCTTGACATGCATTGTTTATCCTGCTCCCCATTTACCCTGGCTCCCCTCCACTGGAAGAGCCTGAACGTGGTCCCCATCCTTCTCCCACCCCCTCAGGCTTCCCCATCTCCCTTCACCAGAGGTTCCTGGGATCTCCTGAGCTATGCTGGGAGACTAAACAGGCGTGGGTCCAGGCAAATACCATGTCCTCTGGACAGGACGGATCAGAGAGAAGGCTGACCCCAAGGAACTCCCTTGCGGCCTGGCAACCTGGGCTACATGGCTCCCTGGAGAACCTGAGAGAGACAGGAACTGGAGGGGCTCAGGGGCCCTCTCCCCTACTCTGCCTTGCCCACCCAGCCTCACGCCCTTCGGCTACTATTTTATTTGCGCAGCCGCAGGACTCAGCACAGGCCCACAGACACATGTGCTTCCTCCCGACTCTGGCTCCAGTTCACCATCAGGATCCATTGATCAGTGTTCTGTCTTTAAACTTGGGTGGGAATGAGTGTCATGGGGAACTCCACTTACAGGTCAGGGGAGATTCAAAGTTCTAGGAATCTCCTTTCAATTGAACCCTACAAAGAAGGAAGAAGGGAGGAGGGTGGAGCTGTGGGGGTGACAGGAAGAGGGAGGGGGCATCCCCCCAATTCCCTCACCTATGCCTCTTCTCACAATCCACCTCTCGTCTTCCCCTCTTCACTACCCCTCCAAATTCTCTTTAGCCACACAAATAAACAACTTGTTGATTTTTCCCTCACCACAGCAGCTCCCTCTAGACCAATTAACTATTTGTATTTGTTGTTGATTTTCTTCTACAGAGGGCTGCTGATTTGCTCAGGCTGGGAACTTGTGGCCTGCCCTCGGTGCTAGGATTCTACAGCTCAAGGACTGCAGAGAGAAAGGGCAGAGCAGGGTGAGGATTGCTCTCTGGGGTCCCTGGGTCATTACCCCACACCTCAGAGTCCCCTGCAACCTCTCGCAAGCCCTGCAACACACCCTTTCAGGAGCAGAGAAGCCCCACACCCTACCCAGACAGAGGCAGGGCACTTCCTGTGTCCCTCTGGAATGCTTCCCACCCTTACCCAAGAAAGGAGGAAGGGAAAAGGACGTTAATAGGCAAAATCATAATCTGCGGAGAGATGAGGATCACACCACAGAGAACAATGTCCCTCAAGGCCGGAGACCCACGTGCTCTTGGCATCCCTCAGATCTCAGCAGCCAGTAGGGGGTATGTCAGTAAATCACCTACCCTCTCTGGGTTTCCTCATTTGCAAAGAGTCACATCCTTCTAAAGGCCTAAAGGAGAAGCCCATTGAGGATGTTTTTCAACATCTGATACAAGAACTATTCATTTGTTTTAATATTACTATTACACAAAGTTTTAAAAATTTAATATTACTATTATACACAAAAATTTAGCATTGATACCAAAATAAAGAAAAAACATTTTTCTCTTGATTTCCCTTGTCCCTCGTTCATTTAATTGTACATGGTAGTATGTACTGCATTCATTGATGGTAAAATATCACCTACATTTGAATGCCAACAGCTGGAAGTGAGGAACAGTCCTCTCCACCCGAAGATGACCTTCTTTCTGAGAATCTATGGGGTTAAAGCATCCTTCAGCATAGTTCTTCTTGTCCCCACCCCAGACAGGACCCTGTTCCCTCCCTCCCACTCCTTGGGCAAAAACTTCTCTGGTTCTCAGCTAGAAAGCTGGGAAGGCCCAAAGCTCAGCCTATGCCCTGGAGCCTTAGGAGAGATCCACAATGGCAACAGGAAAGCCCGATTGACAATATGTTGTAATTACAATAATGATTTATAAATAAGCACCAAGAAGTACTCTAGAATGGCTGGTTAGGGACACACACAGGTGTCCCTCGTGAGCACAATATAATTGGAGGAAAAGCTTGTTTTCCCCAGATAGCAGGCAAAGTTCTGACCCTCTCCATGTGAAATGTTTCTTGGAGATGTTTGCCCCAGCAAGGACTAACTGCTAACAAGCATTTGGAGCAGAAAGGGAAGAAAACCTAAAACCTAGGTCCCCAGAGAGCTGAGCTAGGCTAGTCAGTTGGTAAGGGCTCGTCCATGACAGGTATGTAGATCGTGGGGTGGGGAAGTTGGGGCATGGGAACTCAAAGTGGGGCAGAGGAAGGAAGGAGCACCCCAGGCTGACGTGTGGAGACAGAAGACATGCAAGCATGCTGAGCCCAAGACACAAGCCCCAGCTGCGTTCAGAATGGACAGGGCCCCACCTCATCAGGGCTGAGGCCCCAAACCTCAGGCAGCATGGAGTCTGGAGTAATAAGCCCACCAGGGTTCTAGTTGTGCCGCTGGCATTCTGCAAACATTATCTCCTGCAAACTCTTCTTCCTCCTGACTTCCCCATTTTAGATAAAGGAACCAACCTCATCAACCAGACACTGAAATGTCAAATCCCAACCAATTAAGGGTCTGTTCCAGAAGATGGTGTCTACTCTCGCCGTCTCTCTAGCATCAGTTCCCTCTTTTCCATTTCTACTGCCAAAGTTCCAGCCTTCATTAAGTCTCGCCTGGACCCTCTCTCGTTTTCCATTTCCTCCCTCCCTTCTCTCCTTGTTCCCTTATGACCCGCCCAACTGCTGCCACTCTGCCCTCTCAGAAACTTGTCAGAACTAAGTATTCCCTTTGCTGCCTGCCAATTTGAGTCCATGCCTATGCACCTTTCTGGCCTGGTCTCTTGCAGTATTCATTCCCTCTTCTTCTGGCAACTGCAGCCTTCAGATACAGTCTGAGGGGACTGTCTACCATACCACCAGCCCTTCCCTGGCTAAGGGAAGGAGCACAGCCCAGGCAGGGCCCATCAGACATTTCCTCCCTGGGATGTGAATCCTAAGTAATGACAAAATTACTGAGCACAGCTGGAACAGATTTACCCTGGTGACAATGGTACCCTGAAGAGGCTGCCCTTTGGTTCCTACTGCACCCTCTCCAAGATCCCAGAGGGGTCCCAGGTCCTGATTCATCCCTCTGATTCTCGGAGTTACCAGAGCATTCCAGGGGGAGTCCTTTCCTGCTGAAGTCTGCCAAGTTTGTGGTTGTAACCAAACAGGATCTTGTTACTTTTTGAGATACATCTCCTGTGCTCCAGCCAAAAGGGAAAAGTTCCTAAAAGTGCTGTTATGGCCTCTCTCTTTTTATGGCCTCTTTTTGTACCTATCAACCTACACATCTCACCAGCCCACAGGCAGTGCTGGAACGCTACCTGCCCCTTCAGGGTTCAACCCAAAGGCCTCTTCCAAACCCTCTACAGGGATGACTTCTTTCCTCTTTAAACCTACAAGCCAGTGGCCTCCCCTTCTGCCTCCCAGTGTAGAGACACCGGTGTACTTATCTTATCCCCCTCCCAGAGGACAGTGACCTGGTCATTGTCTCCTCCATGACACCCCACACAGTTTCAGGCTCAACAAAATTCACCAATCTCTGGGGGCAGACAACCCAAAGGACAATTACAGGTTTGCTAGGCAAGACAGTAAGTTACAAAGAATGTGAGCTACACTGTCAGAAAAACCTGAGTTTGAATTCCAGATCCTCCCCTTACTAGCTGAGTTTGGGAAAGACTCAGTTCTTCATCTATGAAATAGTGACAATAATGCCAGCCTTGCAACTTGCTTGAGAATTTGATACACTAACATGTGAGAGCATCTAGCCCAGGGTCTGGATAGCAGTAAGTGCTCAACAACCAACCACCACTATTCCAGCTATTAGTAGCTACCGGTTTAGCAGGTGTTCCATCTGAGGGCTGCAATCAGGAGACCTGGGGCTTGATGTGTGATCCACTGTGCATCTCTCTGTTCTCAGTAACCCCACATGGATTACTGTGCATGCCCTGGTTCAGCATCTGTTACCCCATGTCCACACCTTTTCCAAAGCTCTGGTTCCTAAATATCCTGCTTTTGTGAGGCCTTCCTTCAAATAACCACGGGGCACTGTCGGCTGTATGGTTACAGTGGGACTGGGTGCTCATCACCACAGGTCACCCCTACCCTAGCCAACACTAGAGAGCATGAGAATGAAATGAAAAGACAGATCCTGTGCGGCTGCCAGAACAAGCCTGGCTGGGGAAGCAAGGTGGAAGGAAGTCTCTTTTAAGACTTTCCACCTGCCTGGATTAATCTCCCAAGCAACTGCAACGGCCCCAAAACAGTGGGTCTCAAAGTGTTATCTCCAAGGAGCTGGGCAGAAATGCAAATTCTAGGTCCCACCCAGACCGACTGTGTCAGGAAACTCAGCACCCGGCATCTTATACAGATCTCCAGGGGATTCTGATGCCTGGTCAAGTACTAGGAATCCTGCCCTAAATACTTAACCGTTAAGACCCTCCCATTTTAACTCAAACATTTACTCAACACCTGCTATGAACAAGGGAGTGAGTAGGGTGGTGGTATTTCAGAAATGACACATTTGAAAGACTTCCACAGCCAACAGGGGCCAACAATCAAGCACACAAATACACAACACAGGATGTAGGATAAAACAAGTCAAAGCAATCAGCTTCCTACCCCTCTCCCTAGATCCCTACCCTGAGATCTTCTCTTGCCATGACTGGGGAAAAGAGAACATCAGTTCTGGGAAACCCCACCCCCAGTGGTGCTATTCTGGACTCCTCAATGGCAGGTAGCTTCAAAAAGAAGGATGCTCAACTCAAAGGTCGTCTCAGGTTTATAGGCTTGGCCTGTGAGCAATGCTTCCTCCCATTCAGCCACACACACTGGTTCTTAGGAGCTTGGAAATTGGCCTTATCTGGGGTTTGGGCTCAGAGAGTTCCTACAGGGAGGTAAGCATGCCACAGCACATCAAAACAATGTGTTCCCAGGCAGGGTCACTTCCACAGGCCCCTGACAAGCTGGCACACGAGTGTGCAGAAACAGACATGAACAAGCACACAGACAGCTGGCCCCCTGGCCTCCCTTCCTCCATTCTCAAGTTACAAGGTTAAAGGCATCCTATTCGCAGCCAAAGGGGAGGGATGAGAGAGGGACCATCTGGTTCAGATCAAGACTGCTCATTCAGGACCCTAACAAACTCCCAGAGTTCTCCCAGAGTTCCCGAACCTTCCTGATGGCTCAAAGATTTCCCTCCCTCCCCCCACTTCCCACTGGGAAACTTGAGGACTGGGCTGGAAAGGGAGGACACAAAGACAAATCTGCTGGAGGAAGATGGGAAAACAAAAAAACAACTATAAAGGCAAGTCTGTGCCACTTCCCTGAGCCCTTGTTCCCTGTTCCCTTCAGATCCTGAACACCAAGACTAAACTTGTGATCACCGCCTACAGACACTGTGCCTTCCTCCACAAAGAGCTCAGGGCACCAGCAGGCATCCGTCCCCGAACCGGCAACCCCCTCCAAAGTTAGCAACAGAAACAAGATGAGGCTTAGGGCTGTGGTCTCTCAGACTCCTTTTATGTCACCATCTCTGCCAAGGTAGGCAATTCCCTCCATCTCAGAGTGACTTTGGGGCCCACCAGGCATTGAAGAGGAAGGGATGATTAACCAGCTTCTAGACAACTGTCCCAAAGACAAGATGGGAGTGTGATTAGTGGCTATGAATGAAGGTATCCCAGAGGCTCCCAAGTGCCCTGAATCCCCTCTGGCGTCTTTGGCAGAAAGAGGGTGCCAAGTGGCCTCTCCACCAGCAGCACCACTCTCTCCCCTTTCTCCCAAGACCACCTTAGACTCTGCTCAAGCAGCTGTAAAGCAGGAGGCAAGATGGGAAATTGATGCAATTGGCAAGGAATAGAAATGTAGAGGCTAACTTGGGCAAAAAAGCAACGGGGGCTGGGTCTCTACAGGCAGAGAGGGCCAGAAGTGGGATATGGGAAGGGGGAAGAGAAACAGAAGTGCTTGGAAGCTAAAGGGGAGCTCGGCCCAGAGGTGCAGCAGGGGGTTGGGAAGTTCGGCCCAGTCACAGAGGAATGACTGGAGGGGAAGAAATGACTCTTCCATTCCAAGGCAGAGGCTCAGGCCAGCTCCCACAGGAGTGGGGCACGGCCTCGGCCAAGTTCTTGGCTCGTGCTATACCTTAGTTTCTCCAAAGTGGGAAGGAGGTCAAGCTGTCAGGTTTTATCAGAAAGAATTGGGCCAACGGGGATAGCTAGGGGGCAGTGCCAGGTAGGCAAAAGAGGTGCGAGGTGCTGGTGGTGCAAAGACAGCCTCTGCCCAAGAGCAGTGGGCAGGGGTCTCCAGATAGTGCTGAGGCCAGGAGCGCGCAGGGATTGGGGGTACGAACTGGGTAGTAGGGAACGGGGCGGGGAGCGGTTCCCAGGGCTGGGGCTGCGGGCTATCACCGACGAGTGCAACAGTCGCGCCTGAAGGGCTGGGAGCGGCTTGAGGTGCAGAAGCACACGGCGGTGATGGGGTCGCGCCCAAGACCAGAGGACCCCCCGCTCCCACAGGGGGGCCCAGCG